AGACTTGAAAGGAGTGACACAAACAGACACAGGTACATCAGTGTTTATTGCAGCACTATTCTCAATAGCCAAAAGGTAGAAACAACCCAAATGCCTATCAACAGATGAATGGGCAAACAAAAGAAGGTGCAATTGTACAATGGAGTATTACTTGCCATAAAGAGAAATGAAGTCCTGATACATGCCACAACTTGAATGAAACTTACGTTGAGTGAAGTAAGTCAATAGAAAGGGACAAATATTGTATGATCTCACTAATATGAAATACCTAGAATAGGCAAATGTATAGAGATCTGAGTTTAACAGTGATTGCCAGGGACAAGAGAGAGAGAGGAAGAGGGAAGCATTGTTTAGGAAACATTGTGTTTTTGTTTTTGGTGATGGGAAATTTGGCAAGGGTTATTGGTGGTTGTTGCACAACATTGTTGATGTTAGTTGGTCTCAGTGAAATGTACACATGAAAAATGTTGAATTATCAAATGTTGTGTTATCTACATTTTTACAACAATGAAAAAATGTATAAACAAAAAACAACCCTATGGATCACAACAGTCTGATTCCATTGTGAATGGAGTCATCATGAATCAGTGGCCAACTCCTTGACAGCTAACAATGATGCCAATAATAAGTTACTAAAAGTAAGAGTAGAAGCCTGGAACTCTACCTCTTTGCCTTCTCCCTGCCCCCTCCCCTCACTGTCCCTGATTAAAGGAGGACACACAAATTGAAAGCAAGGCTTCAGGTCTCTGTAGGGGCTAGCCTCCATCTGGCACTCAGTGCATGTTTGGAAAAAACAGAGAAACATGTAGCCACTGACCTGGGATCCAGCCTCTCAGTTCTTTTTTGACAGCAGGGGGGTAGGTTTGTGAGATGTTTTGTCAGGAGAGGCTGGACCAGCCTGTGGTCCAGTGACTGTGCTGGACTAGTGACTGCCCTGCCCAGGGCTCCAGTGCCTGCCTTTGTTATATATATAGATAGGTAAGATAGATAAATAGATAGATAGATAGATAGTTATTGATCATTTTTCAAGTTAAAAAATAAATGCTGGATGAAGACAATCTGGGCAACACAGAAAAACACAAAGAAGGAGATGCCACATGGTATCTTACTGGGCAGAAGTAACCACTGTTTAGGACTGACAAAAGCCAATCAAATCTGCTCTCATACTTTATCTTATGATAAAGACACCTTTTTAGTGCCTGTCCTTTCTGCTTAAATGAGTGGCCTCCTTCATAGCACAAAGCAGCCAGCAGAGTTCTCATAACTGACCCCCTGGTCAGCTACCAAGTGGTGAGTCATGGGAAAGCTTGGCAGGCTTCCTGCTGATGCCATCCCCAAATGTTAGGCTGCACTTTGTTGTTGTTGTTGTTAGGTGCCATTGAGTCGTTTCCAACTCATAGTGACCCCATGCACAGCAGAACGAAACACTGCCCAGTCCCACACCAGCTCTGTGATCCCTGCTATACTTGCACCTTAACCACCTTTAACTTGCCTCGTAACCTAACATCTGTGTACTCCTTGAGCCTGCTCATAATTTCTGCTTGAACAGTTTTCCTGGAGGTCATGAGTGACAGTTTACTACCCTCCCAATCCTCTGCCACATGGGGCTTTTTTTTTTTTCTTTCCCAAATCAATGATTGCTGAGAAATGACAACTTCCAGCAGAACCATGATGCCATTTTTAGCTTGAAAATTGTCTGAGAATAGACTGCTCTGCCTCAGTAAGTCACAGGGGGAAAATAATCCTCACGACTGACATGTACTGGAGGTTACCATGGGCCCCGCACTGCCGGAGGGATGTTTTAATGAAGTCATTCTATCCTCATAACATTTTTATTTTATCATCCCCATTTAACAGATGAGGACACTGAAGCACAGACAGCAGAAGAAACTTGGACATAGTCATGTAGATAGAGGAAGTGATGGGGCCAGGGCATACTTATTGGTGGTCTGACTATGCAGGGGTTCTCAAACTTTTCTGTAAGAGGTCAGAGAGTGAATATTTTAGGCCTTGTGGGCCATTATAGTCTCTGTTGCTGCTACTCAGTTCTGGGTGTTGTTGTTGTTATTTGCCGTCGAGTCAGCCCCGACTCATAGCGACCCCTCCTTGGGTTTCTGAGGCAGTATCACTATGGAAGTAGGATTGCCCAACCTTCCTTCCGAGGAGTGGCTGGTGGGTTTGAACCGCCAGCCTTCTGGTTAGTAGTCAAGCACCTTAAGCACTATGCTACCAGAGCTTCCCAGTTCTGGGTAGTAGCACAAAAACAGCCCTAGTCACTATGCCAGTGAACAGGTATGCACACAGAAATTTGAATTTTATATACTTTTAACTGAAAAGCTGGAGGTTCGAACCCACCCAGTGCCTCCGTGAGTGAAAGATCTGGAGATCTGCTTCCTTAAAGATTACAGGCTAGGAAACCCTATGGGGCAGTTCCACTCTGTAACTCATGGGATCATTATGAGTTGAAGATCAGCTTGACAGCATGCAACAACAACCACAACATACTTTTCACATACTATGAAAAATGATTCTTTATTTGATTTTTTTTTTTTTAATTGTAAAAGCTGTTCTTAGCTCTTGAGCTGTATAAAAACAGATGGCAAGCCCAGAGGCTTTTGTTGGCCAACCCCAGCTCCAGAGCCCTGCTCTAGTAACCTTTCTAGGATCGTGACTCCTAACCACACCATTGCACTGTGGCTATACAAATACTATTCATCAATTTAGGAAAATTCCAAGCCACTTTCTCTCCAGTCAATTCCCTACAGTGACCCTATCAGACAGAGTAGAACTGTTCCATAGAGTTTCCAAGGCTGTGCTCTGTATAGAACCAGACTGCCACATCTTTCTCCTGCTGAGCAACAGGTAGATTTGAACCTCTGACCTTTCGATGAGCAGCTGAATGCTTAACCATTGTGGCATCAGGGCTCCTTAACAGAGGAAGCCAGGGCCATTATTCTATTTTCCAGAGGCTTTTTTCCACATAGGAGTTAATTCATTTCCCTGCCATCTTTCATTGTGTGCACATATGGAGGAAGGGCCAATATGTGTGCATAAGGACATTAGGGCTGAGAAGGGTAAAGTTTTAGAATGCGTTGATGTAGTTGACAACTTATCCATAATAAAAACACATTTATGGAATTCTAGTGTGTGTTGAGAAAAATGATTTCATTTATTTTAAAAATTGAATTTATAGCCACTTGTTCAGAGCAGATCCTTGTATGACACTATGTTCTCTGGTCCTCTGTATGGACACAGTGATCAGCTTGAGTATCTACATGGACTGATGGCCCAGGGAATACCTTGGGGACACCCACTGGCCCAGACAGTTCTACTCCTTCTGGCCTTCCTTCTCATCTGAAATAGAGCCAGTGTCCCTGCCCTGGTGGGACCACACCAAACAAACTGCCTGGAACCATAAAGCTTTCAGGGCACACCTGGGAATTGGAATTCAGTGTCAACCTGACCACCTGCTTTTATGTTCTGTGCAAATGCCAGTGTCCCTGTTTTTCATTAGGGACTGTGAGGGAATGGTGGACAAAATGGGCTGTTGGTATACCTGTCCCTGTGCGGCTCTGAAATGATTCCAGAGCCCTGTCAGCCGCAGCCCTGCTGCCTTCTTGGCTCTGGCTCAGCTTAGTGGCAGATGGTGGTGGGGTTGGGGAGGGGATGTCTGGGGAAGATGATACTCACTTTTCTGGCCCTGAGTGTGTCTTGGATAGCTCTGTCCCAGGGTGCGCTGTCACTTCTCTGTACTTATCACTAAATGGGTACTTAGATCTCTTGGGTACCAGAGAATCAATTCCTGGTCTGGTGGGGTGGGTGGTTGTTGTAGATGTTCTTAGTTGCTGTTGAGTTGATTCTGACTTACAGAGACCTATTGTGTGAAGAGTAGATCCATAGGGTTTTCAAAGGTGTGATCTTTTGGAAGTAGATTGCCAGGCCTGTCTTCTAAGGCATCTGTGGGTGGCTTTGAACCACCAGCCTTTTGGTTAGTAGTTAATTGCTGAACTGTTTGAGGCACCCATGAACTCCTGGTGGGAATGGGTAATGGGAGCCTTTTCCTGAGACCCTTTGGTGCTGCAAGTCACTGGGTGCTGCAAATGGTTCATGTGCTCGTTTGCTAACAGAAAGGTTGGAGGCTTGAGTCCACCCAGGGACACCTCGGAAGAAAGGCCTGGACATCTACTTCCCAGAAAGCAGCCATTGAAAACTCTATGGAATAGTGTAGTTTTACTCTGACACACATGGGGTCTCCATGAATTGGAATGACCACTGTTTAGCAGCAGGTGAATAGTGATCTTTCCACAGCTTTAGAGCTGGAAAGGGCCTTTGTAATCAATAGTCTAATGGTTTTCAACCTGTGGACCCCCAAAACAGTTATGGGGAATGCTTATTCCTGGCTTTTTTTTTTTTTCCAACATCAAAAGAACTAATGGAAGCCAAACTTATCCCCATTACAAGCCTTCTTATGCTAAGAGAACCTTCACGTTTCTTTGCTTTTGGCTTGATTGTATTCTGAGTGAGTTAACCTTGATTTGTGTCTGTTGATAAAAAGCTCTGGTTAACAGTGATTTATATCTTTGATTAATAAATCTGAGAAGATGAATTAATTATTACTTAATAAATGCATTGTGCTTGCTAGACAAAAAGCCCTTTAAACATGGTGTACCTTGGGGGATAGTTCTAAAAGAGATCTGTGTGATGAAAAGGGGAGAAACTGCTGATCTAGTGCAACACTCTCCTTTTACAAATGAAGAAACAGAGGCCTAGGGAGGTTAACGAGTCTACTTAATTCTCACAGCCATTCGGTCAGGCAGATGGTATGGATCTCAACACGGTAATGAAGAAACAGATTCAAAGATATTTGGTGACTCGTTGGAAGGCTTGCATTGTATTTGGTGGATGCAGGATTCAAACCCAGGTCCCTTTGGCTCTGAAACCAGCCCCTTTCCCATTGTCTCCAGCTGACCAGAACCCTTGCCTTTCCTCCTCCCCTGCAGACACATAGAGAACTGGCGCAATCTGCACACACTCAACGCCGTGGACATGGAGCTCTACACCGGACTCCAAAAGCTGTGAGTGCACAAGTCTTGCGGGAGGCCCATGCTCAGGTGGTGGATGCTGCATGGCTGCTGCCTTCCCTTTCCCCCTTGGGCTTCCTCTCTTTGGGTCGAATGAGGGCACCCACTTAGGGAATGTCAGAGGCTTCAAAGTTCCTCTCTTCATGCTCTTACATTGCATGAAGTCACAACCTGTAGTTAGGAGGCAGGATCTGAACCCAGGTCCCCTGACTCCAATATTTTAGCCCTATGCTTGGCTGGATGGTCCCCATAGAGGACTAAATGTCCCAGCACCTCCGTCCTTTGGAGTTATGTGATATTGGCTTTGGGGAGGGGAGAAGGGAGGAGGCACTAAGGGGGTGGCATCTCTGTGGTGTTAGATTCTTGAGCCAGGAGTTCCCGTTCTTTTCTACTGGTCAGGATAACTGTCTCCTCAACCCTGCCAGCCCTCATCTGAAGCCCGACTGAGACCCCTGCGGGCCCAACAGTCCAGGGCTACCAGTCAGGTCCTTGTGATGACTACAGATGAAGACCTGACCCCTTGTCAACCTCAGTCTGGAGCAATGTCCCTCTGCCCGAGCTCTGCTTACTCTCTTCTGTTCTCTCTCCAGGACCATCAAGAACTCAGGACTTCGGAGCATCCAACCCAGAGCCTTTGCCAAGAATCCCCACTTGCGCTATATGTGAGTAGAGCTGGTCCTGGGATGCAGGAGTGGGGAGTGATGGGGGGAAGAGAGAGAATCCTAGGCAATAAAGTTGGAGACCTGAGTTCTAGGCTTGGCTTTTCCACTGTGTGTCCTTGGGCAAATCCCTTAACTTCTCTGGGCATTTGATTTTGCCTCTTAAAATGAAGATTTTGGATTTGATGATCTTTAAGGTTCCTATCAAGGAGCACTGGTGGTGCAGTTGTTAAGTGTGCAGCTGCTAACGGAAGGGTCAGAGGTTTGAACCTGCCAGCTATTTTGTGAGAGAAAGATGTGGCAATCTGTTTTAGTAAAGATTACTGCCTTGAAACCCTATAGGGCTGTTCTACTCTGACCTATATTGTTGCTTTTTTTTTTTAAAAAAAAAAAAAAAAAAAAGTTCCTTTCAGAAGAAAAAGTTGAGGACCAGGGCTTAGATTCCAGGTTTCCTAACTCCTGAGTTTGCTTACTTTCCATGATTTAATATGCAGTTTTATGGGGATGTTAATCATAGGAAATTCCATTGACAAATGTGAATACTGCACTTTTAGGAGCTCTGGTGGTGCAATGTTAAGGCGTTTGACTGCTAACCAAAATGTCAGCGATTCAAAGCTTTCTGCCACTCCACAGAAGAAAGATGAGACTGTCTGTGAGGAGTTATAGCCTTGGAAGCCCTGTGGCACAATTCTACCCTTCCTTTAAGGTTGCTATGGTCAGAATTGACTTAATTGCAGTGGGTTTGATTTTGGTTTTGAGACTAGTTTTGGGTTCATAAGTGTGTGTGGGGAGGTAAGGAGCTAGAAGGAGGAGGGAAAAAAAAAGGTTAGGCTAAGTGTTATGTCTAAATAGATTCTAGGTTCAAAGGAGAAGAGCTCAGAGAAGTGAAAACACCTGTATAAGGTCACACAGCTTTGTTAACGAAAAGTTGGAGGTCACATGGCTATGGATGGGAATTGCTGTCTGTCTCTGCCTCCCTTATTCCATCTTCCCTCCCACCCCTCACCCTACCTGCCATGTCTGATTGGTGTATTGGCCTTCTTAGGGGTTGGCTCTGGCTAGATCTAGTGGGGATAGAATAACATGAACTTGATGCCTTGTGTAGAGCGATAGACCATGGAGTTCACTTGGAGGGCAGCTCTTTTCTGGGGAGGGGCTGGGCATGAAATGGAGCTGAGGATGAGCAATCAGGAAAGATGCCAAGCTACTGCACCCTTAGGGGAGGAGATTGTTGTTTGCCTCAACTCTTCTTCTAGGATGGCAGCCCCCTTGGACATCCATGAGGCTTGCTCCCAAACTGCTGAGATCCTGAAGGAGCCAGGTAGGATGGTGGGGTCTCTTGCATCTCAGGAGCAAGAGTCAACCCCTGAGGAGGCCATTCCCTCAATCAGACATGGGCAGGGAAATGGGGTGAGGAAAACACATGCACCTGTGTGTGTGTGTACATGCACATGTGCACACACACACATGGGAATTCCCACCTACAAACATGTGACCTCTAGCATCTCCCATATTAGGAGAAAGATGGAAGAATAATGTACACAAAACTTCTTTGGCCACTTGAGAGTTTTTCTGGTTAAGTCACTTTGCATTTGAATATGGCAGGACAGACCAGCTGGATGAGAATCTTCTATTAAGAGGTAGAGCATCCATGGGAAGCTATTGGCAAATGGAGGGTGGGTCAGAAGGGACAGGGAAGGGATCTTGGAGAATCAGGTGGGGCAGCTGCTTCACTTTGGGAGATCCTGACCTCACCCTCAGCTTCTGTGTCTTTTCTTAAGCACATAACATGAGCTGTATAAATATTTGTTTATCAGTGTGACCACCTCTGCTTTGTGTTGAACTATCTTTCCTCCCTCTGCAGATAGAAAGCTCTATGGCCATTACTCAGGGCCAGAGTTGTTAACTACAGGAGACAGAGACCTCCCTTCAACTGTCTAATTTAGCTGTTGTCCCCTTGCCCTGTTTAGCCTCTGTGATAGGGTCCTCCTGACAGGTGTTCTTTGCAGCTGGTGTAGTGGGGACCAGGGCAGGGCCTTGGACCAGATGTTTCAGGTGTTTATTTTATTGGGGATTTGAGTTTCACTCTAAAATATCCTAGGGAAGGGGGCTTTTGACATCTGAGAAGTCTCCCTTTTCATTGTAGCTCATTTAAAGGTCACAAAGCCAAGTAGCCACAGCGGACCAGGTGGGGACTGGGGAGGTTGGAGACCACATGTCCCCTCTAAAGGGGGCAGCCAGTAAGCAGGTCCAGCTGATGGCTGCCGTGTAGGAGTCGTGCTGCTGTTGCCAGATCTGCTGTTTTTGTAAGAAGCACTGGAAATCCAGGGAAACCACCCAAGTTTTAAGTATTAGCAAGTAAAAACAGGATCCCTCAACTCCACAAGCCAAACAGTACCCCTCCATGGGCAGAATATGGCACACAGAGTTTGTGGTCTAGGTTATATTTAGGGGAGGGAAGCTGCCAACGTGGGAGAAGCTCTGTCCCCCGCCAGGGCTTTGTGTCAATTGCAATTACTCAGGGACATTGAGAGGCCTTTGGGACCTACCCTTTTTCTACAGGCCACAAGAGTGTGAGCAGGATTGTATCTCAGGCTATGAGTGTCTTTGAAGTGATTGTATCAGAATGTGTCTTTGGGTTACATTAGAGACCCCCCTAGAGCTGGGCTGTGACCTACTGTCTCTTTGGGGATGATCTGGTCTGCTGGGTGGGATCAATGGAGGCTGATGGGGCTTTGCAAGAGTCCCAAGGCTTTGGGGACAAGAGAGGCCAGTGCCTGGCTGGATTAGATACCAGAGAGCCTGGCCATGATGACCCTGTTTCATCCTGGACTCATAACCTTGGGCCCTGTTTCCTCCTAGACTTATGACCTTGGATGCTGTTTTCTCCTGGACTCATGATGTTAGGCTCTGTTTTCTCCTGGGCACATAACCTTGAGCCCTGTTTTCTCCTGGACTCATGTCTTTGGGCCCATTTTCTCCTGGACTCATGACATGACCTTGGGCTCTGTTTTCTTGTGGACACTTTGTCCAACTCTTGTGGTAGTGCTTGCTGTTGGCCAGGAGGGGGTCAGGAGAGAGAAGGTCAGGTCACTGTAAGTGCAACCACTATGAGAAAAATGCTCCCCACTTTGAGCCTAGCCACAGACTGGGGGTGAGTTGGGGTGCTCAGCTTGACACAAGAAGGATGGCGACTGTAGACTCTGAGGGGCACTGAGGGGCTTCCTGAGAAGCCTGTGCTCCACAAAGAGAAGAGCCAAGAGGACAGACCATATACACTGGCTTCCACAATGGGATTTTATTTATTAAACTTTTCCCATTTATGAAGACACACCCCAAATCCTGATTGAGTGAATTTCCCGGCAGCTCTGGGACATTTTCTCCTGGCAAATGGACCAGGTTTCTCTGCTCTCTCACAACATCTTCTATTTCTGTCCTCTTAATGCATTTACAAGTCTTCAGGCCCCAGCTGAGCAATCACAAGATGATCACTTACTCCAACACTAATTGCTGAGCCCTGGCTTGATGGCTTTTCAAATTTTTTTTAGGGTGATGGCTGAGAAGTCTTTTCTTTTCCCCTCTGTACAGAATAAGAAGCAGGAAGTGAAATCATTACCCAGGGTGCAGATGTCAAGTCGCCCAAGCCTTCTGATTGATTGAATTGTCCCCACTCCTAAGCTGCTATTGCATTAGTCAGTGTTTTTCTTCCTATTGCCAGAAAATTAACCGGCAGTGTTAAGGCCAAATTGTCTGCCCTAAAGGAGGCTGCAGATTAGAACTCTTGGGTCCTACTTTGAAGTTTATGAGTGATTTACCATCTCCTCCTGGCTAGTTCAGTTTTCTTTATCTTTTATTGAATGTGAAGAATGAAATGTTGATCAATATACATCAAGGAAAATCCTTTTTGAGGGACTGGAACCTTCTTGCTTTTCATTATCTGTCCTCTGATCCAAAAGGATTTGGGGAAACCAAATTGATCATTGGAATCTAGTTAAGCCAGTTGCCATCAAGTCAACTCTGACTCATGACAACCCCATGTGTGTCTGAGTAGAACTGTGCTCCATAGGGTTTGCAGTGGCTGACTTTTTGAAAGTAGGTTACCCAGCCTTTCTTCTGAGATGCTCTGTGTGGATTGAACCTCTGACCTTTCAGTTAGCAGATGAATGTGTTAACCACCCGAGGACTGCAATAATGAGAATAAACTCACTGCCATTGACTCGATTCTGACTCATAGTGCCCCCATAGGACAAAGTAGAAGTGCCTCATAGGATTTCCAAGGCTGTAAATCTTTATGGAAGCAAACAGCCTCATCTTTCTCTAGTGGAGTAGCTGGTAGGTTTGACCCACCAGCCTTTCAGTTAACAGTCAAATGCTTTAACCACTATGCCACCAGAGCTCCTAGCACAACTTAATGTAAAATACCAGAAAGATTCCCATTAAAGTCAGAAATAAGATAAGGACTTCCACTATCATTCATGAGAAAGACATCCAAAACCAAACTTTTTCCCATTGTATCGATTCTGACTCATAGTGACTCTATAGCACAGGTACAATTGTCCCATGGGGTTTTCCCAAGGCTATAACTCTTTATGGATATAGGGTGCCTCATCTTTCACCTGCAGAGTGGCTGATGGGTTTGAATTACTGACCTTTTGGTTGCAGCCAAACACTTTTGGTTAGCAGTCACCACAGCTTCTTGATAATTAAAATAGATATTTGCTAATCTGTAAAATGGGTAAGACATTTGACTGCTAACCAGAAGGCTGGTGGTTCAAACCCACCAACCACTCCTCAGAAGGAAGTCTGGGAAATTGACATCTGTAGAGATACTGCCTCCAAAACCCAAGGAGGGGTCACTATGAGTCGGGACCAACTAGATGGCAGTGAGTTTGTTTTTGATTCTATGGATAGGAGATCTGGTGCCATAGTGCCTAAGGCATTTGACTGCTAACCAGAAGTCTGGAAGTTCAAACCCACCAGCCACTCCTCAGAAGGAAGATTGG